TTATTTTGTTGATTTGTATTTTGATCGCTATTGTTTCCTTCCATTTACTTTGGGTATATTTTGCCCTTCTTTTTCTACCTTTTTGAAGTGAAAGATTAGATTATGGATTATAGATCTTTCTTCCTTCTAATTTAAGCATTTAAAGCTGTAAACTTTCTTCCAGGCCTTGCATTAGCTACCCTTATAAATTTCAGTGGTTTTCAGTTCATTCAGTTTGAAATATTTTCTAATTAACCTTATGATTTTTTCTTTGACCCATGGTTATTCAATGATTTATTTATTTATTTATTATTTTATTTTTTTCAGGGGATGGCGTTTTGCTCTTGTCGCCTAGGCAGGAGTGCAATGGCACGATCTCGGCTCACTGCAACATCCACCTCCCAGGTTCAAGCGATTCTTCTGCCTCAGCCACCTGAGTAGCTGCAACTACAGGCGCGTGCCACCATGCCGGCTAATTTTTGTATTTTTAGTAGATATGGGGTTTCACAGATGGAGTCTCACTCTGTCACCCAGGCTGGAGTGCAGTGGCTCGATATCAACTCACTGCAACCTCTGCCTCCCAGGTTCAAGTAATTCTCCTGCCTCAGCCTCCTAAGTGGCTGCGACTACAGGTGCGTGCCACCATGCCAGCTAATTTTTGTATTTTTAGTAGATATGGGGCTTCACCATGTTAGCCAGGCTGGTCTTGAACTCCTGACCTCAGGTAATCTACCCGCCTCAGCCTCCCAAATTGTTGGTATTACAGGCGTGAGCCACCACTCCCAGCCTCCATGGTTATTCAGAAGTATGTTTTTCAAATGTTTGAGGGTTTACCAAATTTCTTTCTGTTGTTAATTTTCAATTTAGTTCCATCAGGGTTGGAGGACATACTTCAGATGACTTCAGTCCTTTTAAGTTTATTGAGACTAGTTTTGTGATCCAGCTAGGGCTCTATCCTGGAAAATGTTCCGTGTGGACATGAAAGGATTGTGTACCCTGCTGTTGGGTGGGAGCATTCTATATGTTACTTGGGTAAAGTTGCTTGACAGTTGTGCAAGATTTATATATCCTTATTCATTTTATGTCTAGCCATTCTATTAGTTGCTTAGAGAAGGGACTTGAAATCTCTGATTATAATTACTAAATTGCCCAGTTCTCCTTTCCATTCTGTCAGTGTTTGCTGCATGTATGTGTTATTCAATGCCTATGTCTTTACAATTGTTTTATCTTTATCTTACATAATTTTATCATTATGAAATGTTGTTGCTATTTATCCCTAGCAATATTTCTTGTTTTAAATTCTATTTTTTTTTCTGATATTAACATAGATACTTCAACTTCCTTATGGTAACATTTTGTATGATTTATATATATTTTCTCTATTCTTTTTTTTTTTTTGGCAGAGTCTCTCTCTGTCACCAGGCTGGAGTGCACTGGTGCAATCTCGGCTCACTGCAACCTCCGCCTCCCAGGTTCAAGTGATTCTCTTGCTGCAGCCTCCTGAGTAGTGGGGATTACAGGTGTGTACCACCATGACTAGCTAATTTTTGTATTTTTAGTAGAGTTGGGGTTTCACCATGTTGGCTAGGCTGGTCTCGAACTCCCGACTTCAAGCGATCCCTCCACCTGGGCCTCCCAAAATGCGGGGATTACAGGCATGAGCCAGCCGTATTTTCCCCATTCTTTTACTTTGTAACTACTTGTGTCTTTGAATCAAAAGTGCTTTTCTTGAAGACAGCTTATGTAGTTCTGTGTCAGTTAACAACGGGGATATGTTTTGAGAAATGTACCTTTCCAGAAACTAGATGGTTAGTGATCCTAGGCTACAAACCTGTACAGCATGTCACTGTACTCAACACTGCAGGAAGCTGTAACATAATCATATCATAACTACTTGGGTATATAAGCATTTCTAAACATAGAAGAGATACAGTAAAAATATGATATAAAACATAAAAAATGTAACACCTGTATAGGGAGCTTACCATGAATGGAACTTGTAGGACTAGAAGTTGCAATGGGTGAGTCAGTGAGTGAACGGTGATTGAATGTGAATTCCTAGGACATTACTGTACCCTATTGCAGACTTCATACACGCTGTACACTTAGGCTACACTCAATATATTAAAAAATAGTTTTCTTTCTTCAATAATAAAATAACCTTAGCATAATATAATTTTTACTTTATACTTTTTTTTTTTTTTTTTTTTTTAAGACAGAGTCTAGCTCTGTTGCCAGGCTGGAGTGCAGTGGTACAATCTTAGCTCACTGCAACCTCCGCCTCCTGGGTTCAAGTGATTCTCTTGCCTCAGCCTCCCGAGTAGCTGGGATTACTGGCATGTGCTGCCACGCCCAGCTAATTTTTGTATTTTTAGTAGAGACAGAGTTTCACCATGTTGGCCAGGATGGTCTCGATCTCCTGACCTCGTAATCTACCGATCTCAGCCTCCCAAAGTGCTGGGATTACAGGCATGGGCCACGGCGCCCAGCCTATACCCTTTTTAATATTTTCACTTTTTGACTTTTTTAAAATAACACTTAGCTTAAAGCACATATTGTACAGCTGTACAAAAGTATTCTCTTTCTTTATATCCTCATTCCATTTTTTTATTTTTAAAATTTGTAATTTTTTCCCTACTTTTCAAACTTCTTTGTTAAAAATGAAGAGACAAACACACACATTAGTCTGGGGCTCTACAGGGAGGGTCAGGATCATCAATATCACTGTTTCCCACCTCCACATCTTGTCCCACTGGAAGGTCTTCAGAGTCAGTAACATGGACGGAGCTGTCACTTCCTATGATAGCAATAATTTCTTCGGGAATATCTCCTGAAGGACCTGCCTGAGGCTGCTTTACAGTTAACTTAAAAAAAATAAAAGTAGGTATGCACCCTAAAATAACAAAATAACAAAAAGGTATAGTACAGTATATATAAAAACCGGTAGCATAGTCAGTTATTATCATTATCAGGTATTAGAGACTGCACTATAATTATGTGGGCTATACTTTTGTATGACTGGTAGTAGATTTGTTTACAGCAGCATCACTACAGACTCGAGTAATGCTTTGTGCTGCAACATTACCACAGATATGATGTCACTAGGCAATAGAAATTGTTTAACTTCTTTATAATCCTATGGGGCCACCATCCTATATGCAGCCTGTCATTGACTGAAATGTCATGATGTCGCACATGGCTGTAGTTGGAACTTACTTTTTTGTACATGTTGATAAAGACTGCCTTTTGATTGTAGCGTTTAATCCATTACATTTAATTATTGATATGATTGGATTGACATCTGCCATTTTACTATTTGTTTTTGTATGTCCCATGTCTGTTTTCCCTATCCTATTTTGCTGCCTTCTCTTGTGTTAAACACATCTTTTTTTTTTTTTTTTAGGTGAGACATTTTAAGTCCTATTTTATTAACTATTTTGAAATTTAATTTTCTTTGTGGTTATTCTAGGGATTATAATATATATTTTATCACAATCTACTTTAGCTTAATACTGGGAATTCTGAAAAATTTAACAACTTTGTTGTAATATAGCTCCATTTCCCCATTCTTTGTACCATTAATGCCATATTTACTATACCTATATATGCCATAAATCCAACAGAACAGTGATATAGTTATTGCCTTATGCAATCATATATTTTAAAAAACATTTTAAACTATTTTATATTAACAAATGTATATACATTTATATGTCATACAAACATATATATATCTATAAAGATACATTTAAACAGAACATTTAAAACAAACTCATATTAAAAAAGAGAAAAAAACCTGTTCATACAGCCTTTTATGTTAACCCACATATTTATCATTTCCATTGCTCTTCATTTCTTTCTGTGGATTCATTTTCTGGTATCATTTTCTTTTAACCTGAAAGTCTTCCTTTAGTATTTCTTATGGGACAGTTCTGCTAGCTACAGATTCTGTTTTTGTCCATCTTTCTTTGGAGGCAGAATCTTGCTCTGTCTCCCAGGCTGGAGTGCAGAGGCACGATCTTGGTTCACTGCAACCTCCACCTCTGGAGTTCAAGTGATTCTTGTGCCTCAACCTCCAGAGCAGCTGGGACTACAGGTGACCGCCACCACGCCCAGCTAATTTTTGTATTTTTTGTAGAGATACGGTTTCACCATGTTGGCCAGGCTGATCTCAAACTCCTGAGCTCAAGTGATCCACCTGCCTCGGCCTCCCAAAGTGCTAGGATTACAGGCATGAGCTGCCGTGCCCGGCCTGTTTTTGTATATCTTTGAATGAATTTATTTTACCTTCATTTTTGAAAGATATTTTGCTGGACATACTGGTTGACACTTTTTTTTTTGAGTCTTTTGAATATGTTGTTCTGCCTTTTGGCCTCCACTGATTCTGATGGAAACTCAGCTGTTAAATATGTTGTTGTTCTTCTGTACGTGGGATTTATGTTTCTCTTACTGCATTCCAGATTTTTAAATTGTCTTTGGCTTTTAGCAATTTAACTATGATGTGCAAATCTCTTTGTGTTTTTCTTACATAGGTTTGTGGGTCTTCTTGAACCTGCTGATTAATGTTTTTCAGCATAGTTAGGACGTTTTCAGGGCATTATTTCTTCAAAAAAGTTTGTTTAACCTTTTTTCCGCTCTCCTTCCCTTCAGGACTCCTATTATACGTATGTTTGTATGCTTGATGTTGTCCTAGAGGTCTCTGAGGCTCTGTTCATTTTTCTCTATGTTCTTCAGAAGGATAATTTCTTTCTTTCTTTTTTTTCTTTTTTTTTTTTTTTTTGAGGTAGAGTTTTGCTCTTCTTGCCCAGGCTGTGGTAGTGCAGTGACGCTATCTTGGCTCACTACAACCTCCGCCTCCTGAGTTAAGTGATTCTCCTGCCTCAGCCTCCCAAGTATCTGGGATTACAGGCGCCCGCTACCATCCTCGCTAATTTTTGTATTTTTATTAGAGATGGGGTTTCATCATGTTGGCCAGGCTGGTCTCGAACTCCTGACCTCAGGTGATCCACCCGCTTTGACCTCCCAAACTGCAGGGATTATAGACATGAGCCACCTCGCCTGGCTGCAGAAAGGATAATTTCTACTGATCTATCTATATCTATAGATGTGAGATGACAGGAGGAAATAATCAGTAAGTTCAGACTTCTGCTGTTCTTATATGACATTTGGGCAGATTTCATGAATATACCCTTTTTAGTTTATTATTTGCTTTTGGTTGATTTCCAGTCCTAAAATGCTTGTTTAAACAGTTTTATACTTATTTTTAAAATGAAACACTTTGTGAATTTGTGTGTCATCCTCGTGCAGGGGCCATGCTGATCTTCTCTGTATCGTTTCAATTTTAGTTCATGTGCTGCTGAAGTGAGCAAAACAATTTTTACTTTTATATTTGTTTTGTGGGGAGAGGATTTGTCCACCTTTTTCGGCTGCTCTAACTTGAAGTATCATCTCTAGTATGTTTATAGTTTTTTTTTTAATGTTTATATTTTGGAGTTTTAATTTTGTTTATTCAGTAGCTTGAGATAGGGATCTAACTTTATTTTTCTTCCAAATGAATAGATGATTTACCAAACAACTTCTGGCTGACTGCATCCCCAGCTTCAGTCTGTTTGTGTATGTAATTTTTGGATGAGACTAATGTTCGAGTGCGTGTGTATGTTGGTGCAGCTGTGGAAGAAAACGAATGGCACATAGGTCCTCAAAATAAAATGAATCACCTTGAAATGTTAAGATAAAATGGAAGCATCTGTATGCAATGGGTGAGATTAATCTGCAGAAGATATCTCAGAAATGACCAGTGTTTAGACTGTTATTTGTGATGGTGTTGTGTCTGACTTTGAGCCATTCATGACTCTACATACTTGTTTTTATCTGCTGTCTACATCTTTTCCTGTATCTAATCTTGGTCCAACATTTTGATTTTAGCTTTTCTGCTATTTTTGTACACTTGGCAACAATGTGGGACCCTCATTTAAAAGTGCAAGCAACCTTATAAAAGAGACTCCAGAAAGATTCCTCACCCCCTTTACCATGTGAAGACCCAGAAAAAGACAGCCATCTATGATCCAGGAAGCAGACCCTCACCAGACTCCAAATCTACCAATGCCTTGACTTTGTACTTCCAGCCTCTAGGACCATGAGTAACTAATCTCTGCCTATGGCATTTTGTTATAGCAGCTTGAACAGACTAAAACAATCACTTGTGTATAAGGAAAATTAACTTTTCGCGAGTTATTTTTATGGCAGTTAACCCCCACTCGAGGATATTCAGCAAGTAATTGTAGAAGGAGACAGGAACCCATCTCTGTCTGCAACAATTCTGAAAAAAATCTCTTAAACACCACAGTTCAACAGGAGGATGCATCCTGAAAGAGAAATGGGCTTCATTTTAGGTAGGTAAGTCAATCTCCATAGTAATTAGAGATAAAGTACATAAAGCACATTATATGACATAGGACTCAACAAATGGTAGTCAGTATCATCATTGTTATAATCATTCTATGATTGTTATTTTGTGATACAGCTAAAATAAAAAAAAAATTTAAGGATACCAGCCACCCCTAAGTGAAATGTTAGAGTGAAATTCCAGACTCTGACAAGCCAAGACCCAGACAGAACCATAATGCAAGGTCCCCTTACATGGCACTGCTATGCTGAGAGCTCGGCCCTGCCTGGAAGGGTCACCTACCTTATCAGTTGCACCATCAGGGTAGCTAGCTACCTCATGCTGGGGAGTGTTTCTATGGTGTACAATAGGCCTGCTGAGAGAAAGACTCTTTGATGCTATTTATTTGGGCTGAGATAGGTCTATGGCTGCCTATATGAGCAGCATTTCAGGGGTAGCACACAGGCTTCGAGATCTGGATCTAGCCCTACTCATGTCCTAGCTGCGTGAGCTTAGCAAGTTGCTTTATCCCTCAGAGACCCAGGGTCTCTTATCTATAAAACAGGGTTGATGATACTTTGCAGGGTTTTTGTGAAAATTGGAGATAATATGTAGGAAATATTCAGTACACCCTGAGTGCTATATAATGGTATTATTTAAACACTTCAACAGCATCCATTAATGACCCCTATCTTGGAGGTTTTACTTGAGGATTCAACGAAAAAAATATGTAAAGTACCTAGTACATAATAGACCCTTAATAATTGGTTAGACTATTATGTAAATTTCAAGGAATACAGTTATTGAATGGACTTCTTTAAGTGTAATTCTCAATTTGTAGTTAAGAGGTTTGGGTCTTGGATCTAGAGCTAATTAGCTGTGTACTCTTAAGCAATATCACTCTGAATCTCAGTTTCCTCACTCGAAAATTACATATTTGCAGAAATGAGAAGCCAAGATGTATCTTTTTATAAATTGAAAAGGAAACTTTTTTACAGTTAGCAAGGAAGGAGCTTTGGAATACTAGGGAACATTCGAGAAGCCTGGCGTAACACTACTAAGTTAGGGTCATTAAATTTTCAAAATGAATGAATTCATTATGAATAAGAGAGGAAGAAAAATTACCCCATGACACATGTTTACCTGTGTAACAAACCTTCACAGGTACCCCCAAACCTGAAATAAAAGTTAGAAAAAAAAACTTGCCTTGATTTCCATCAGGTTTCTAAACTTTCTGGGTCAAAAGATATATTAATTTGTTTTATACTCATTTGTTTTCTTCTTTAACGATATTTATTCAATTGAAAAGTGTGTACTATTATTACCTAAAACCATTAAAATTTAGCGAGAGATTAAAGGAATGCCATAATTAATGTTTAATAGTTGTCACAATACAAAATAATTTTAGCAGTTTTGTTGAGGTATAATTGACATACAATAAACTGCACACTGAAAATATATACTTTGGTAAGTTTCAATGTGCATACATACTCATCATAATCACCATAATCATTACATTATATATATGCACCACTCCAAAAAGTTTTCACGTGTCCCTTTGTAATACCTCCCTCTTCTCCCAACAATCACGCTACTGCTTTGTGTCTCCTTGTAGAATTTAAATACATGAAATTGTTCACGCAGTGTGATACTATTTTTTAAATCTGAAATATTTTCTCAGAATAATTCTTTTGAAACTCATTCATGTAGTAGAATGTACCAAATGTATTCTTTTTTATTGTAGAGTGGAGTTTATTGTATGCATATATCGTAATGTGTTTTCATATTTATCTGTTGATGAAAAGTTGAGTTGTTTTCAATTTTTGCTATCACAAGTAAAACTTCTGAACACACACACACACACAAAAGAAAAATAGTTTATGCACAGCCGAGTTAATTCATTCAGATATATTAGCTGTGCACCTGAGTCTTGGAGAAATGTCTTGCTCTTCTGAGTTCCTCCAAATGGGATTTTTGATGGAGTCTTACATGTTTTGCTTTCTTCTCACATCAAAACATTCCATGTACTTTGAATTTAGATTCAGCCCTTCCTCCTGGTATTAAGGAAGTAGTGAATACATCAACATCAACATCAACCTTCTTTCTATCCATATGAGAGAACTACCTGCTGTTTTTTTTTATTATTATAATAAAAAGAACACCTTTTTGCAAGCCAAAAGATTCAGCTTACCTTGAAAGAACCTTTCCTCTTAATTAAAAAGCTATTAACGACCTGCTCTGCAAAACATTTCTTTGAGTTAAATATTGGTGTTTGTGGGGGAGGGGTGCGGGGAGAGGTTGGTGAATGAGAAAGCTCTGCTTTGGGGATTTTGATACAAAATCTATTAAGAGATTATGTAGTTGCTTTAGCCACTGCATACATTCTTCATGATTCATGTATTTGTTCTGGCATGCTCAGTGCCTGGCACATAGTACAGGTAGCTGCTAAAATGTTTGTCGAATTAGTAAATGAATAAGAGAAATGTCTTTTCATAGTCTCCAATAAGGAAAATGGCATAAATAATCTTGAATGTGTTTCTGGTGGATCCCATTTGAATAGAATTTAATTGGACAGGGCACGTGGACTTTGGGAAATTGGGTTTAGGAGCAGTCAGGGAAGGGGAGATGCTAGCTTAGTACCTGCTGGGACCTCTTCCTTCAGACAGAAAAAGGGATATAGTGTGAGGAGGTTAACAACCCATTGCTGTGGGCTTAGCATTCAGTCTCCAGCCCAGATAAGGACTGTTGGCCTCCTCCGACAATAGTTGGGAATTGGGGATGCATGTGTGGGGAGGGTGGATAGGAATGACTGAGCATTGCCTGAGTTATTGGAAAGAAGTAAAGGTTGCAAAAACAAAAATAAAAATAAAAATGTTGAGACTGAAAACTGTATGTGGTATGAAGCAAGTGAATGACCCTTACACTTGCATTTGGTACCTGATGCCACTCTTTACAGATGATGACTTTTCATACTGAAGATGCTTCTTCCTTTCCAGAGGACCAAGAACTTTGCTTCATTCCTGGCAGCATGCATTGCTCATGGCAGCATGAAAAAAACAGAGTCCTGAGTATGAAGTAGAAAAAATAGTGGACTAGAAGTAATGGCTCACTTGGTAAGCTGTGGGGCTTTTGGCAAATTCTTTAACCTCTCTGGGGCTCTGTTACAACATCTGTAAGGTAAGGTGTTTGGACTAGATGATCTTTTTTATTCAGCAACGTAAACTGTGCTGCGTGCCAGGCAGTAGGATCTTGAGTTGAGTCACACATGGTCCTGGTTCACATTCTGGCTGATAAGAGCTGGAAGAGGAGCTAATTAAAAATACCAGCAGACACACAGGAGAGGATAATTATTCTGTTTGCTAGGGCTTGGGAGCTGATATTTCAAAAGTAGAAATTCCCCAGAAATTTATTAATTTTGTCATCATTCATTCATTTATTCAACAAATGTTGACACTATGGCAACTGTATACCAGGGTGCCTACTTTCTATGAAGAATGGGGAAATAGTCATGAAGAAAGCAGACAAAATCTTTACTTTCTTTCAGTTTAGTCTAAGCTGAAGGTGCTAGGGGAGGTTGGGAAAAGGTACTATTAGTATTTAGCATTGAATGAATATTTAATATTGTTTCATTTCACTCTCCCAGTATATCCACAAAGAAGGCAGTACCCTCACTTTACAGAGAGAAACCTGAGGCCTAGAGGAGTGAAATAATTTACTGAGCTCATACTAATAAGTCATAAGGACTCAAGCCCACCGCTGCCTGTGTTCAGAGCTCCAGCATTTACCCGTATTGCAATTTTATGGCAGAAGTGGCTTCCTCAGCCGCTGGGTGAGTGAACACTTGGTTCGCCTTGCCAACACTTCCTCTTTGAGTAACAGTGCACCTGTTTTCCTCTGGAGAGCTAAGTCCTCCCACTCTCAATTCAGTCCTGTAAAGAGGAGCTCTCATCCCTCCTACAGGTGTCAGAGGTGAGGTCATGCTGTGGGCTTAATGTATCAGACCACGTCCTTCTAGGCACAGTGATTGGCCCAACCAGTGATGGGCACATGACCAGGCTACACCAATTGGCATCAATGCCTGGACTTTTGCTGGAAATATTGAAAAAGAGTCTTGTTTTTTTTCTCCTGGGATTTAAACTGTAGACTGTAAGCCTAGAGTAGGTGATGTTCTCCAGAAGGGGTGAGGGAGCCTGCCTGAAAAATGAAGCTTATAGAGAAGCACATTAGTTCATTCTCACATTGCTATAAATAAATACCTAAACCTGGATAATTTATAAGAAAAGAGGTTTAATTGGCTCATGGTTCTTCAGGCTGCACAGGAAGCATAGCACCAGCATCAGCCTCTGGGGAAATCTCAGGAACTTTCCAATCATGGGGGAAGGTGAAAGGAGAGCAGGCGTCTCTCATAGTTGGAGCACGAGGAAGAGAGATGGAGAGTGGGGAGGGAAGTTTTGTTGTAGGACTTTTCCCTTAGTTCAGCTAAGGGCTGGGTTCTTGTCACATGGCCATGAGAGATCAGGCATGTAGACACTTTTTTTTTTTTTTTTTTTTTTTTTTGAGACTGAATCTGGCTCTGTCGCCCAGGCTGGAGTGCAGTGGCCGGATCTCAGCTCACTGCAAGCTCCGCCTCCCGGGTTTACGCCATTCTCCTGCCTCAGCCTCCGGAGTAGCTGGGACCACAGGTGCCGGCCACCTCGACCGGCTAGTTTTTTGTATTTTTTTAGTAGAGACGGGGTTTCACCGTGTTAGCCAGGATGGTCTCGATCATGCAGACACTTTGAAGGGTGAGAATAAATGGAAATTATTGGGCAAAAGGGAAAAAAAGCCCAACAGGGACCAAAAGCCCAACAGGGACCTTCTACAAAGCCAGAAGAAGCCTGCTACTGTGCTTCCTGCCTCGCAGACTGAATCCCATGTTCCACCCAGGAAGAGGAGGGGCCAGGCTCCTTCCGGCTGCAAAGAGCAAGAACTTCCTGAGGCTCCACCCCAGTGTGCACCCCTCCTAGTGCGCAGGCCATTTGGAGTTTCTCTGGGGACCCCTTGGCTGTCTCAGTTTCACACACTTTTAAATGACCAGATCTCTCGAGAACTTGCTCACTATTTTGAGGACAGCACCAAGGGGACTGTGCCAAACAATTCATGAGAAATTTGTCGCCATGATTTAAATCACTTCCCACCAGGTCCTACTGCTAACAATGGGGATTATAATTCAACATGAGATTTGGGCAGTGACACACATCCAAATCACATCAAGAGGAAAGCAGAATCAGAGCAACAATTTCCAGAAAACATTGTTGGAGGCCTTGGATCTAATTTTGCCTGAAACAGGCACTTATTCCTGTGCTTTCAGTTCTATGAGCTAATACATTATTCTTTTTCCTCTTAAGATGGTCTGGGTTGTTATTACTTGCAACCAAGCATCTGGAAGAATATAGCCTCCAAGAGAGTGCAGAGAATGTTTATTTCTCTTTCTCCCTAGTGTATTATTCACAGTACCTGCAAAAGTCTCTACCAACTTCACTTAAACTTTTCTTCTTGGAGGTAAACACACATGGTTTTTTGCTATGCTGTGCCTCAAACTCTGTCCCCAGGGTCATATTTCTATGTATCAGGTGATGCCAGGCTTCACATGCTCAAGTATGGATTGGGCAGCCTCCTTATTGAATGTTAACCAACATCTCTCCATGTGTCCTCTCCAAGGCCTCTGCTATCCAGTTCTGGCTCCTTTTCTCACCATGCAGTGACCCCAGACAAGCTCTAACATTGAGGATGTCATGCTCCGAGTCTATATGACCTGCTCTATGGTGGCAGCATGAATGAAGGCTGAGGATGACCAGAGGGGACAGCTTCTTCCCTGATTCTAGTTTCCAGTAATGTTTTTTCCAGACTCAGATTCCCAGAATCTCACCTCTGGATAGCCTGTCGGATGTAGCCTAATCTTTATAAGCTGAGAGTCAAAGGAGCCCTTACTATCTTTTTATCAGGAATGAGAGAGGTTGTCGGGTGCTATATTAGACCTTACCTGGCCTCATCATCTCTCTCACTGCTGACATCTGGGGCCCAGTCTGATTGCTCCATTTTTTTCCCCTTAGAGTTCCATCCTCCAGGGTCATCAGAGCCCATTTATTCAAGGGAATGGGGTGACTCTTCTGCTTCCTGTTCATGCTTCCTGACTGCTCCCAGGCAAACTAGCATCTGAATTGCTAGGCCTACCATTGCTATATGCTAATAGGAGACACCTCTTTCCCACAACCAGAGCAAAATGAGAGGTGTTTTCACTTCATTGGGTCTTCAAATTTTGTGCAAGAAATGATGCACTTGGGTTTGGGCAGTACCTTCTCTAAACTTATGGCCTATAGAGTCCCAACCAGATAATTCTCTGAGGTGCAAGGAGTCCTGCCTGTATTGACTAGCACAGCTTATGCAGGGTCTCCACCTTGACCTTGGATGGTTCAGCATCCTCCTCCTCACCATCAGAAGGGATCTTCCTCTTCAAGCCAAGTCTGGGGTTGAAGATTGCAGCAAGTGCTTTATTGTGGGACACACACAATCGTGTGTTGGAGGCTCTTAAGTGTATAGCGCTCAGTAGTACAACCACCACCCTCGATATTGAAGCAGAGACTTTTAATCTACCTTCTGGAAAGTGTTGGGCATCTGAACTGCACATCCTGGAGACCTGAGGCATTTGGCCCCCAACAACAAAGCACTGTTCAATCTGAGGACATGAATGAGTTAAACATGGGTCTCTATGACATTCTCTCCGTCAGCCCTCTCTTTCCACCTTGATCCCTGCCTGTGTGGTCCTTGAACCAGGGATGAATTTTTCTCTTCTTGCTGTTGCAGGAGCATTCTCTGAGACCAGTCTCAGCTTTTGTTAAGAAAGAGCTTTGTGGGCCGGGCGCGGTGGCTCACGCCTATAATCCCAGCACTTTGGGAGGCGGAGGCTGGTGGATCACAAGGTCAGGAGATCGAGACCATCCTCACTAACACAGTGAACCCCTGTCTCTATTAAAAATACAGAAAATTAGCCGGGCATGGTGGCATATGCTGTAGTCCCAGCTGAGGCAGGAGAATCGCTTGAACCTGGGAGGTGGAGGTTACAGTAAGCCAAGATGGCACCACTGCACTCCAGCCTGGGCAACAGAGCAAGACTCTGTCTCAAAAAAAAAAAAAAAAAAAAAAAAAAAAAAAAAGAGCTTTGCAAAACGCCATTGACAAATCCAATTCCTGATTGAGACTCATGGAGGACATGAGTCTGAGCTCTAGTGGGACTCCCTAGCAGCATTTGGTCTTCACCAACACCTCTAAAATAAATGCACTCTAAAGTCTGACATCACTTTGTAAGAATGAAGCCATCCTTTTCAGATATACTGTGTGGAAAATAACTTGCAGATCAAACTCCACAATTCCTGGGAGGCAAGTCTGAACGGAAGATCAGATTAAAAGAGGGTCAGTGGCACATGTACCCTAGAATTTAAAGTATAATAATAATAATAATAATAATAATAAAAGAAAGCAGGGGCTTTGGGTGCCTGTGAACAGGAGGGTCTTCCCTCCAGCTGCATCTCAGCTGGCTTCACTGAAGCAGGAGGAGGCACAGTGAGAAGGACTCCCACGATGGGAAGATTGAACGGGATGTTTTGTTCTCTGCTTCTCACCTTAAGTGAGTGGGCTGGAAGGAGAAGTCAACAGGGGCAGCCCAAGCTACCGGCAGGTCCTCGCTCTGAAGGTAGCAGGATCCCTCTCCCTGGAGTCCACATTCCACTCCCACCCCCTGCAATCCATTGTCCCACAGTAGCCTCAGGGATCATCTTAAAATGATAAAACTAAAAATCTATTGAAATAAAAATAAATAAATAATTTTTAAATGCTAAAACTATAAAAATGGAGAACAGATTCATTGTCAGAGGTTAGGGAGGAGGAAGGGAGAAGGGAATCAGGTGTGGGAATAAGAGACAACATGAGGGACCCTGGTTGTGATGGAAATGTTCTGTATCTCAACTGTATCAATGTCAATATCTTAGTTGCTATGTTATACTATAGTTGCAAGTATAGTTGTTGTATACTTAGTTGCAAGATATTGCCATTGGGGGAAACTGGGTAAGGGGTACAAAAATCTCTCTGTGTTATTCTTCACAACTGCATGTGAATCTAAGACTACTCAAAATTAAAAATTCAATTAAAAAACAAAGAGGGTCAGTGAGTCCTAGAAAGAAGGAATCCTGCATGGGAGGCCATATTCTTTAGTAGGGCTTGATAATAGTGAGGGAGGACACAACTTTTTCTCTGCCCTCTTAATGTCGTAACTGAGATCTATGAATTAAGCTGACAAAAGACAGATTAATAATGGAAAATCATTTAAATTGTATTTGACGTTAATATTTGTATGTGGCACAGGAAAGGGGCCTTCATAGAAAAAAAAAAAGTGAAAACCTCAAGGAAGTGGTGAGACTTGGGGGCTTATGGTACCATCATAACAAAGGGCAATAAATTGTGGGGAAGTGACTAGACAAAGAAAAGGAATTTGGGCTTCTATGGGTGGTAAATTGAGGGGGAAAAACTAGGAAATATATGGGAGAAATGAATGGACAATAAGGGTTATTTCCACAAGGTTTATTTGTGCAGACTTATGTCAGAGTTGACTTCTCATCTCCAGTGATAAGAATGTTTTCTTCTTCCTAGTATTGGAAAGACAAATTTCTCACAGAAAATTTATACACTGCTTTTAGGCAGAAAGGAGGAGGGCAGAGAGCCCTTCCTGCATTGGTTGTTTCTTAATTGCCTTCACCCGAAAATGGCATATTTGGGGATGACATGGTCTAATCTTCAGTTCCAAGAATAGCATCCTGATACCTACCATGAAACAAGCTATGGGAAAAACCTTTGTGTGGCCTGAAAGTTCTGTTATACTGGATCCCCAAACCCCAAAATATTTAAGAAGTTGTGCATCCTTCCTAAATGAGTTAGAAAGGATACAATAATTAGGTGGGTTTTCCTTTCCAACAGGCATTGTTGAAACTCTCTGAGACTAGTGACATAGCTCTGCCCCCTTGGCTGGGGCAGAGGTCCAAGCCAGTGTGGGTGGCAACCTGCTTGCAGAGAGGAACAAGGCTGCAGAGTGGTGCCTCCACAGCGACACAGACTCAGGGTGAGAGGCAGCCCAGGCTCACTCTTGGTACATGTAAGACACATCCTGGTGATTCTCAGGAATGTGTGGAGCAGAGCAGAAAAACTGTGAGAACTGAAATTCTTGACTGGGCGAATGGATGCTAAGGCCTAGGGAGTTTCGGGTGTCAATATTCGTGTGATCGCATTCGGCTCGAGGCTAAGGAGCATCCGGTCTCACTGTCTCACGGTGTGGGGAGGGTGTCTTGTGAGGAAGCTGTTAATTTTCCACAAAGTGTGAATTTGCACCAGTCTAAGAAGCAAATCATTTCTCTCCCTGCCTTTCTCCTCTGCATCATTCTCAGTGCCCAGTCACTGGAGGGAGGGTGGAAGGAGTGGGAAAGAACTGCTGAGCTCGGTTGCTCTTGGGAGGGGCCTGCCA